TGCCTACCACCTATTGAGAAGAAGCTCACTTCTTATTTTTTGTTGGCTGCATCTTTGGCTGGATGAAGTAAACAGAAAAACAGCAGAAAACTCCATACGTTACAGCAGGGGTGAGCATAAAATTGTTCTGAGGGTCAGACTGAATTTTTGTTGTAACATCGAGAGCCGCAAGGAAACTTAATTTTGAGATTTTAAATTCCTTCACCATCATGATGTCAGTGAGAATTATTTTACATACTTTTATTTCCATTCTAGCTAGTTTTGATCATCAAATTGTATTTGTTTTAATAATTATCAACTACAAACTTTAATTTCGTTCATTCCGTTAATACATTACAGCGGTGGACATAAAAATATTTCGGGGGTGGGGGAAACTAATCTATTTTCTTTAACGAAAGACGGGCAAGCAGACTTGTCTAAGAAAGTATAATCAGGGAACAGTGAAATTACATTCCCTAGTATAATACATAGGCCTACTCCAAGTATACTAAATACGCCATAATCAATATTTCGACATTTAATTATGTCATGTAATCATCAGGAATGAAAAATTAAAATTACCTACAGTGTAGGATTTTGCTCATTTAAGAAAGGCCTTGTTATTGAGTCCTCAAAAAAGAGTGACAATAAACAAAAGAGCCAAAGCAAGCAGTTGTATTGTGATCAAAAATAGATTGGAATAGGAGTAAATAATGCAAGGTCTTATTGTGTTTTAAATCCGGCCGGGGACAGACCTCAACAATATTATGGCTCTACCTATGCTATTAAATATTGGACAGACACACAAAATAAGTTGTAATGGTCAATTGCAAACAGTAGGTCAATGTATCTAGGTATCTTTATTTTATCACAAGATTAAACCTATTTTTTATATATGAAAACAGTAAATTAGATTTGTATTGATATTGTAATCTCATCATGAGAACGCATAGGCCTACTTTAATATATAGACCTAATGATGTTGCGTTTCAAAAACACAATTAGAAAAAAAAACATTATTAAACCAAAATAGGCCTAATATTAAAAAGAAAAAAAAACAGAAATTAATTAAATAATTGATATGATTAGTCACCCAAGTTTCTTGAATCTTAAATAAATGTTATCATTTGATTAGTGGCGCGTTGTGAATTCGTCACAAGGGTACTCTAAAGTGAAAAGCGTCACATGTTTCCAGGACAAGCTATTCAATTCCTGTGGGCGTTCGTTACATGTGTGCTTTATTAGTGGAGTATGAATTTGGCTTACCAACTAAGGCTCGTTGGTCTAGTGGCATGATTCTCGCTTTGGGTGCGAGAGGCCCCGGGTTCAATTCCCGGACGAGCCCCTCTTATTTTTACATCGAGCATTTACCAAAAATTTTGAATTGATTTTATCAGGGAACAGTTAAACTAATTGAAATGTAATCTGCAATGTGGGTTGAAAACAGATCATAAAGACAAAGGTGCTCGATGCAGGAGCAGAGGAATATATTTTCAAAAAAAAAAGATAATAAGAAAGATTGGCCTAAAACTTGGATACCAATTCAACATTTTATTGCACTACAGGCTGTCTCATGAGGTACTTCCTCAATCGTCAGGTGCTAGGCTCTCTGAATCTGAATTTAGCTCATCCAAGTAATAAGATTTGTTGAAGTGGAATTATTCTCGCTTTGTGAAATGTATTATTCTTTCATTACACAGCGTACCGTATAAGCCAAAGCCCATTGGAATATTTTGTGTCTTTATATGAAGGACATTTCAAAATTTGTGACAAAATGAAGCTGCATTGTTTTTTATGTATTTTTTTCCTTTTCATGTTTTCGAGGAGCTCCACTAAAATTACATGTTTTATTTAATAATTGTTTTATATTATGTATACTACACTCTTCTTTTTTTTTCTTGAATCTTAAATGTTATCATTTGATGAGTGGCGCGTTGTGACTTCGTCACAAGGGCTAAAGTGAAAAGCGTCACATGTTTCCAGGACAAGCTGTTCAATTCCTGTGGGCGTTCGTTAAATGTGTGCTTTATTAGTGGAGTATGAATTTAGCTTACCAACTAAGGCTCGTTGGTCTAGTGGCATGATTCTCGCTTTGGGTGCGAGAGGCCCCGGGTTCAATTATAAAATATAGGCAAATTCTCATTAATAGCGAAATATACAAACAAAACATATCAAATATTTTAAAGTTTATAACGGTGTAAGTTTTCTGTACCCGCATAACCTCATTGAAGCAAACAGAAATACTATTTGTAAAGTGTTTACATATTAATTCTATCTTTCAATTCTTGTTAGGGGTTAGCGCGAACGCAGTCCCCCGCTACCATAAATTATACACCCGAGTTCCCCACATTTGGGGGAATCGCAAGGGTCAACGTCAGCCAAGTGCAATGCCGAGGCCTCACCTTGGGAGGACATTCCTTCTTGATCAAAGTCACTCCTGTGCCAGGTAAGTATGTTAGGCCATCAACAATATTCTATAGTATAATATTAGAAATACTGTGGCCTACAGGTGTCATTTCAACACTTCTTTTCTTCTGGCTTTTAAAATTTTCATTACGATCATCTTATATAATAAATAAT